CGTGACTTTCGCGCATTGCATTGTAGGTACGAGTCGCAACAAAATCAAAACACTGCATCAAGCGCAAGCATCTCCAGCACTGGTAATCATTAATTCTGCGGTTTTAATCCCTACTTGCATTTTATTTGCCCCAAAAACAGTTATGTACAAAACGACGGAGAACACGGCAGGTCCGTACAAAGACAGACGTGACGAAAAGGCAAACCAAAGTACGAGGAAAAATCAAAGGAGTGAAAGGGTCAGACCCATACGAGCATACAGAGTGGAGTAAGGACGTTAGCGTGCTGCCCGACTTTCATCACGCACATATTTATTATTATATGGTCCTAAGTGTGAGTTCATACACTCACAAAATGTTCAGTAACTTCAGATCCCTGCAACAAGCCCAGGTCCAGTTTACTTTGGTGATTTGGACTATTCCATTTCACAGCTGTTCTTACATTTTTTTCTTTATCTCCTGTACAGGCCAACGCAATCTATTTGTTGTTTCAGGTTGTAGTGTTACACAACATTTTCAGATCTAATAGAAATAAAATGAGTTTCGTAATTCATTCAATTATTTTCTTTATTTATAACTGGCATTATTGTTTCATTCTATTATAGAATCTTATAAGAAAGAGGCAAAATTGTATTCCATCATACTTTATCAGCTGCTTCGATGAAAAACAAATCAACAGTGCAACAAAAAAAACAACATATCAAAACAACATACTGGAAAACAGTTATTCATCACTTAATTACTTCAATTCAACACTTGGGCACATATATGCAGGACGATTCGTGGCTGTTTTGATATCGCTCTCTCTGTTAACCGATCAAATCTCGCTGTGGTAGCAGCTTTACACTCAGTCTGACCCAGGTTGATAGAGGGCGCCCAGTCTGGATCGCATTCCAGCATTTTGTAGGCTGGTTTTCCTACAAAACACAACAAGCATTAGCCCGCAAAGCCACCGCGAACAAAACAGCATAGCGCAACAAATTCAATTCAAATGAAGACTTATTTGTAACCAGTTGGCCAAACTTCAGTAACCCTACAAATGTCACTGCTGTGTAGTTTTCTGTCTTCATTTATGTTGGAAGTGATAGCAGAGCTGTATGTTTGAATTTGTTTCCAAATCCCTCAGTCAGAACATGTTATATTGTGTTTAGATGGAAGCTAGCGAGCTAACGTCCTGCTAATTTCTAACTCCGTTAAATGTCATAAATTCCGTTTTCATGGATGCCTGGATGTTAAACTCAATTGTTACACCTGGTAGAGCAGAACGCTGATCAGTTTATTACAGATAAAAGACTTTAGACAGTTGTTCAACTCTCAGTGATGCCACAGTGATCATTTGATTTATGGACCTGCAGCTGAGTTTAAGCCCAGACATGGCTAGTGACGGCAGACTTAAAGACCAGATGTGTAACTTAATAATTCTCAGTTGTTTGCACTGTAAAGTCCGTGTTTACCAAAGGAATGGACAGAGTTGATTGGCTGAGTGAGATCACAAGGGAT